AATTGTATCTGGCAAACGCTTCCTTCAATTCCTGTGGTTTATGCGAGAAAATGGAAATTCATGTTCCCGTACCAATGCCAATTTTTCTTTTTACGTTTGTAGTTGTGGGCAAAATTATGGAATGCCAGGTCTGAGCATTGCAATATTGAAGCAACTCTTTTCGTGTTATACAATCCATGTTGTTTTCAAGTGAAGAACTGCAATGCTTTTTTTATTCCTGTAAATATGTTGGATGTAGCAGAGGACGTAGCCTATAATATTGTCAATTGTTAGGTTTTTCAAAACTCCACCCAGATATTTTATTTAAAAGGCACAAACGTACACGAATTTGACTGATGAGCTTGCACGTAAAAAAACTAATATTTCTTTTTCGTAGAAACGTGCATCTTTGTTAGTTTGGTGAACGATACGAAAGAATAAGAACGAGACATCAAAGGGGAAAAATGTTTTGTTTTACTTTTTTTTCTGTTTTCAACAACGCGAGGAACCAATATATTATAATTATTTGGGCCACCATTTAACTATACTGCACCTCCATTTCTTCTGCTTTCATATAATTAGCGGGAATGCAACATTGCGTGCACTCTGTGTTACCAAATGCCGCTAATAAGATATTATTGCTGGGTCGAAAATGTTTTGCGTTTAAAACAGTTTATTACAAATAGACCAGCACGCACTCACGCGAGTTCAAAATAAATAAAATCGGAACCCTTTGCTCGAGAGTAGGAAGTCTAAGATCTAAAATGCTTTGTGAAAATTATTATTAATCCGTTATCATTAGTGCCTCCATAGCAGCGAAAAGCTGACGCCGTCCGTCTGCGGGCAAAACATTAGGGAGTTTTAGAATAACGTACGCAATTTTAGCGCACGCAAGCGCTAAAGTTAGCGCTTGTATTAGCGCACGCGGCGCAAGAGAGTTTTAGAATAGCGTTTCTCCGTCGCGACGCAAAAGCCCAAGCATCTCGCGCTTGTGAACCCACCAAGATACAGTCACAATTTTATTTTCGCACACGAAATGCTGTAACTTTAGAAAAAAACAAGTTTTTTAGTTCAAAGTACTATTTTAGATTTGTTTAAACATGAGAATGCGGCGCGAGCGGTTGACCGGTCGTGTCCGCTTGCGTTGCCTCGGCAAGAGAGGTCTCGTGTACTGACCTTCGCACATCGTAACTTCGCCGAGAAATGTTCGCGCGTCACAAGCATCAAGTTGCCGCTGATCGTTGCCAAACCGAGGACAATGTCGTCCCGTATTGAAAATCACAGTCGCGAGGATGCCGCCGACGTCGCACTCACGACGCCGCCAAAGCCGCCAAAGCAGCCGCTGACATAATCCTGGAAGCATCCATTCTTTTTTTTTTTTTTTTAACTCTGCTCGTCTTGGTTTTAGCCAACTTCTCATCACGAATCCTCCTTGGAGAAGCGCAAAGACTCTTTGCGTACGCACGCTATTTTTGAGAAACAGCGCACGCTAAAATTGCGCACGCAAAGCGCAAAACCTGGTTTGCGTTCGGAGCATGCGCAGTGGCGACGACGCTATTCTTTGCGTGCGTAAAGCTTTAGCGTGCGCTATTCTAAAACTTCCTGTTGTGAAGGAAAGCGCCCCGCTTCAGAGAAGAGGAGAGTAGTGAAAGACATAGGCGGAGAGGAAAGCGACCTCACGGGACGGAAGCCAATGAGCGCGCGCCAAGCCGGTAGACGGCGAAAGCAGCGTCAGGCACCGGATGCCGCTGCTAAGCGTGCAAGGCGAGCGAACGAGACAGGGCACCGGAAGTAGCGTCTAGCTGAGCTGGCCGAAACGCGGCACAAGGAGCGGCAAGCTGACGAGGGTTCGCGTGCGACAGAACCGGAAAAATAGTTATAGGAATATCGATTGGTGGATCCTTAAGGGATGCGTTAGCATGGCACTTGGGAAACGCCATACACGTCCCCCTTTGGGAAACGCTAACGCTGACCCCTTCATTTTTACAGCGGAGCTGTTAAGGGCTAGTTTCCCCAAGATCGTGTCCCCCGCAAAGGAATGAAGACACCGAGCTGTGGACACTTATCGCCATCTATGAGGGACGGCGGCAAGCCACGTATCTGGTTGCAGCCGTCACTCATAGATGGCGGCAGCTTTTTCCCCTCTGGCTTGCCGACTTCCGGCCTGCCATTACTTTCCATTGTACAGCTCCGCTGGTCTTCCTCCTTCCCCTAAGTGAAGAGGCTGAAATTTTTCTGTTTTTCTTTCTCTTTTTGCTTTCTTTTTTGCTTCCCCTATTTTCTGTCGCCATTTTTTGGCTTCTTTTTCTACAGGGACGCGTGTGGCGTTTTTCAAGGGTCATGCTAACGCATTTCCTAAGGATCCACCAATGGACCTTTTTTTTAATTTTTATTTTACTTTGTAAAAACACCACGATAACGCCGAGCCTGAGAACTTATAATCAGGGGCTCAGAAGTAGTCGCTTAGTCACAATATAAAACATGAGTGAAAATTTCAAGTTCAATTAAGAGGAACTAATAGGTCACATCTGCTCTATGTCACGTGACTCGGCAGAGTAGTTTGTATCGGGATACAGTAGTGTCAGCGTTCGATCGATGTACAAAACGCCCGGTGTCCACTCTATGGTCAGTCTACATAAAAAAGGGACGCACAAATTAAATAACAAGAATATTTCTCGTTCTTTATGTGTGGTATTTTTCACTCGCAGTATTGTTATAACGATGCCTCCTTTTTGAAGGAAAAAACAACAACGAATGTCTTTTTATTTAAAAAAATGGGTGCAGTACTTCGAATAGCTCCTGATCTGGAGAGTTCTGTCCCCTTTGTCGAAAGCAATACGTATTGAAAATAATACTTCGTGAGGCACCTGGCAGTCGCACACACAAGATTTTTGAAACACAGAACATCTTTGAGGAAAAAGAGGGTGATCCTGAAAAAGGTGTAAGCATGGAGGACAAACATCACCCCGCTATATTTAGTGGGGAATATCACCACCTGACCTGACACCACTTTTTCACGTTACACTGCAACAACTCTAACGTGTTCTAGGTTTATAGGAGACTGGCGGGTGCCAAAGCAGTTTTATTACATCTGGTTAATGGAGAATTTTCTCCAGTGTGGCGCCGTTGATATTTATACGCCTCATCATTCAATGATTTCTTTGTCACGGGCTTTTGTTGAACTAGTTGGTTCATACTTGTTAATGGGGATTGATAAATTTGTTACGTAACTCAGAGTCAAGGGAGTGAACAAGAACACCGCTGACCAGCAACTTGCTTTTTAATAAGGTTTGTCATTTTTCTACAGGGCACGTCAAACACTTAAAGCAAAATTGTGAGTGGAATTGCATGATCACTAACAGTTTTTTTCTATGTTATTTTATGTGCATTCATTGAGACAACATACCCTAATAAAACGCACTTGCTGGTGTTCTCGCACACTTCATTACTTTCGTGTTTCATCAGAAATTCATCTCTCCCAATCAGCGATTAGTTCTTTGCGTGATATATAGAAGAAGGGACGAGCGAACAAGCTTTCAAACTAGACGTTCAGCATTCTGCACTGACCTCGATTAGCGTTAGAAGCGGTTCCGCGAAGGGGACGCAGAGCGTAGGTCCCCGTCCTTCCCAGTGAAGATTGAGGCCGTCAAAGCCGAAGCGCAGCAGCCAGCGCACCGCACTGGACACGAATCTCTGGCGCTTCCTCCGGTGTGGCAGGAGCTTCATGAACATCCTGTTCATCTCCCCGTTTCCTATGGTTAAAATTAACTTCAGCTTCGGGTCGTCTAACTTCAAGCAGTATAGCCGCCTGAGGGCTCCTGCAGGAAAGCACATTTTGAGAAGTCATTACTAATATCTACGCTTTAACTACTATTTTGATATCCAGCTGAACCTCAGCTGGGGATGCATCTGAAGAAACTGACTAGTTGATCTGTATTTTGTATTTGACTTCAAGAGGGTTGATAAAAGAAACTGATCATAATATATAGCACAATATCTGTACAAACAAATGGGGAATAAATTTAAAACTAATTTATTATCGCCTCATCAACGTTTTCCTGGCACAATAAGAACGCCTATCTCTGCTTAAGTTATGCTCACTTAAATCATTGCACAGTTACTTGTCATAGATAAATAAACCTTGGAGAAAAAAACATTTCGTTCTAGATGTTTATTGCATTTACCTCATCATTGCCAAGGGATTGAGCTTAATTGACCACAATAAAAATCAACTTTTGCTTAGTATAACCAAAAAAGTATCTGCAAGGCATGGGTAAATGCTTTTTTATAATGTTAAATGAAATTGAGTGTACTTGAAGAAACAGTACGTAGAGAAGCATTACATTCTGAGGCTTAGGTCTGATTTGTGGTGCAAATCATGCCTCAGTTTTTTTCGCAAAGAAAAAGTTAAAAAAATCGTAATAAAACTTTTACATCGCGACTGTTTGTGATTTTGTAAATTCCGACTGATAGCATAACATTTCTATTAACGAAATTCTCCCGTCAACTGTTCCTCCAATTACGCGGAGAACCAAGTTCTGGCTTTCAATACCTTTACTAAGTTGCACAAAGAATATTTAAAAAAAAAAATCATTCGGAGCTAAACACGTGATCTCAGCTGGGACATTACGTATGTGGTTCACGTGATTGAAATCTTTGCACATACTGTATCTGTAAGCCGAAACATTATTGGTGCCTCAGCTTTCATTTTATCGACTGTAAAGGGCAATAACACCTATCGGGTAAACTTTTTTGGAAAGTAGAGAACTCCACATCCTCTCTAGGAAGCATGAAGTTTCTGTGCCCATCTCCGTAAGCAATAAGCTATCCATATCTGTGTATTCGCACTGTATTTATTTAGGCTAACAATAAAACAAACTCAATGAGTTGTTACCTAAATCCATATAACTTACTTTTGTTGTCCTTGTAGTCAGCTGTCTCAGAAGTTATTTCTCCACTGTCTACTTTAAACGTCAGGTATGAATATATTATATGCGTGCAGACTCTGAAAGGTATGTCTTCGATGCGAAACTGCGTCAGTGCCTCACGCTGGAGACCCCAAGACTGAACTACGCAACCCTTCACGGGGCGCTGAGTTGCTCTTTCCGGTGATTGTCTTCCGGCTATAAAAAGAAAATAGAATCACAATTGATGCCACAATTTTGTTTCATTCTTAACCTGTGGCTTGTCCGTCGTTAAACCACTCTAACCGTTAATTGCAGCCAAGCGAATGTGAAGAGTTCAGCCTGGATGCAAACATTTGAACGTGTTTGACTAGTTTATCACATATGAATAACAAACCGCGTAGTGTCGTTAGCTAATTTATATTATGCTAAGGGTTAAAATACTAACTGATAACAGAACGGAGATTTGAACTGTGATTGAAAAAACACAAGCTATATAAGTGCATGAGTACTGGCTCCACGTTGTGTCTTTTGTGACATGCACGCTTGTAATAAATTGGAAAAAAAATTAGTTACCTGGTTTAGCGGCTTTTTCTTCACCGGTCTTGCACCCAGCACCCTCCTTTGCAGAGGCCAAAAGGCCTCGTTCCAGGATAATTGCAGACGCCAGAAATGCCAGAAAAAGATGTTCATTGCTCATAATGTCTGAAACAAATGCACTAACGTTAGCTTCTTTATACTAGTAAACATATGTCAACTATCAAGCTCAATGTAAGTAAATTCGGTGAGGTATCAAACGTTTTCTTGAATATAAATTTGAACGTCCAGTGCAACCTACGTTGTCTCAGAAGGGTGCGCTGCGTTCAAGATGCAGTGCAACATTAACGTATTGTCGTATTGATGATGGCTATTTTTCTTACAGAGAACCATTGCTGTTACAACCGAGAATTTATAACATAAACTAATTTCATATATTACCTAGGTTTTAACGTTCACGTCAGTTCTTACCCTTAAAACTTGGTACAATTAGTTTAAACAATAATCTACTGCGCACTAATGAAAATTAGAGTTAAAACCACACGCAAATATGCGGACAGACCGCCGGCAACCAATATTATTTCCATTAAGGTCTGCTTCTGCTGTGAACCCATCATTCGCTGATTAATGTTTAGCCTGAGCTTGAAGTGTTTAGAATGCCTACTACTATTTTAAATGATTGTCTCACCTATATGCGCCCTGGAAAGAACGCATTTGAAAACGGGTATGAAATTTTTGCTTCGCGGGCTAGAAATAGTTAGTCGCCCATTCAAGGTGTCATAGAACTCAAGCCATTTCTTTCTGTTGCTATTTTTTTTTTTTCTGCTGAGTGCGAATGACTCTAAATTGAAGTGGCATGCTTTTTGCAGAACCTTAAAAGCGCTTGAATTGAAAATGTGGCAATTTTAGGCAACCATTGACTGACACATGGAGCTTTCTTGCGCCGTGTGTTTGTGAACGGATATAACGTTCCTTGTTGTAACAGCAAGGGTGGGAGTATTTGAAATAACATATTAATTGACTACGCTACCGTTCGCTCATATTAAAAAAAAAACAGATTTAAAAATGAATAAAAACAATTTGACACAAACCGTTTGCCTAACAGGATTGTAAAAAGTTTTTAGTAATTTTTGAAGAGTGCAAAGTTAAAACGTATGTGTGCTATATTTATTTAAGTTGTCTTTTGTGTGTGTGCGTGTGTGTCTGCCTGAGGCCCTACGTTACACGATGGGACCAAGCTGGACCAACGGACAGGGACATCGCCACCTGCTACGATTGGTCAGTGCTGCGTCGCCGACCAATCGCAGCAGGCGGTGCTTTCTTCCGGTGTGCGCGTCGGTGGAGGCAGCTGCGATCCTGCGACACTGATACGAAGAAATTGATTTCAGTGGCATCTTTCTGAGAGAGGCTCATTTAGAGGATTTAATCGTACAATTAGATTCTTTTCGGCCCGGTATAGAATGTTCCCGCCAAGAAAACTACCGGCTTCTACTAAACTAACCAAGATCATGTCTGAAATGGGACCACATAAAGGTCTAAGTTATAGTCACTCACAGCTTAAAGAAACACTAAAATGAAAAAAAAAAAAATCAGTTTATAAAGTGTGTTTAATATTTACTTTGTAAATTTTTCCACGATTTTTTTTTATCAATATTTACGCCGTTAGACACAATTTAGTTGGGGCAGCCTTACTGCAGACCCCGCCCGTTGCTTCCAAAACTAAACACCTTTTCTCAAATCTCATTGGTTGGAGAGATAATTGACGTACGGAATGTTGGTCATAAAATTGCCTCTCAGTGTCGTAATAGTATTTCAATCGACAATTTTTATGTTTGAGAAACAAATAATCTGAGCAGCTGGTCGAGCGCGTCTATTTTAATGAGTGCGTGTCGTTCTGCTTTCCACGAAGCGTTTAGACGAAGATCTCATGAACCGATCTAGTTTGCGGGGGAACCTGCCGCGAGTATACGCCCTTCTGGAAGCACTGCTGGCGCTGTGCGGGTGCTTGGTTTCGTAGCGGGCGGTAGCGTCCAGCTTTAACCATGTTGGTTCGATCTGGCTTACTTTGTTCCTTTGAGCACATTAATGCTGGATCAAGATATTGGTTCCCGTAAAAGCGGCCCCGCTGCTCCGTGAATTGTGCGACCGTTGTGATTGCTACAAGGGTTTTAATAACGAGAAGGTATGTAATTACACAAGTAGGAATTGGCGAACGATTTGGCTGGAAGCCATCGCTCGCATCAAGCTTGTCCAGATTTTTCCCGTCATTTTGCTCCGAAAGGAAAGTAGCTCTACGTTTTGCAGTGCACCTGGTCTGCCAGTGCGAATATTTTTAGGTCGCGTTTTATAGTTGTGTGTCGTGACAATCACCCACCTTGCTCGCGGATGCCAGACGAAAAAATAACGAGTACAGAAAAGCTGGAAGGACTACATATTTATTTTGTTGATTTTTTTTTTTAGTCCTCTCGGTCGCTTTTACCGCACCTCGACAGACGCCGACAGGCGCTTGCATTGGACCGTGGCTCGTGCACGAAGGAATGCTAGAACGCCACTTTTATGGTCGCGTCTTGCAAGCGTTGCAGACGTTCTTAGGCGGGGGGCGGAATAGCAGACGGACGAAGGCGAAAAGGAACGCCGACGCGCAGCGTTTATGTCCGCGTATGTGCATGGCAGACGACGACAGACGGGGGTTTGGAATAGCACACGATGCCGGAGGCGACCGGTCGTCTGCTCGCACGACTAGCAGCCGGTGTCAGACTTCCAGACTAGACGCACCGGATATTGGGAAAATAGAGACAATAGATTTCGGAGCATATTCGATCGAGCAGACAAGCCAATCCAGGAGTAATAGGCGGGGCCACTGATCTGTGGGCGGGGCTTAGAACGGGCCGTGACTTCCACCCAAGTTGCGTCATAGTGTAATACGCCAAAACAACAAGGAAAAAAACGAAGGGGAACAGGACAAAACGCGGCGAAGAGAGTGTTCTCCTTTCGTTTTCGTCCTTGTTGTTTTAGCATATACACACTATGATGCAAAACCAACTAGCACAACTAGCCTTCCTTATCTAAATTGCATCTAACGTGGTAGATATTGCACAACATGTTTTTCTTTGTGCATAAATTATGAAAAAAAAATGTTCAGTATGCTTTCAAAAAAACCTTTTTTAACTTCAGTGTTCCTTTAAGAAACGTGGGTCGTGGTGAGTACCGAGTTTTTTTATCAATGTCCTGTCGCCAATTAAAGTTCTGTATTGGCTATAATAACTCCGAATAACGAATCACAACGCAAGAAGCGTGAACAGAATAAGCGACAACATCCGTTTCTTCAGCGCACAGCGATTATAGTGCCATGGAAATTGTACAAAAATACTTCGCACTCGTTTTTTTTAATGAGAAAAGCATTAACTGTTTCATGGAGCAAGCTGACGTCATCAGTGTGAAGCGCGAAAACAGCAGATAGTTTCCTTCGGTTCCATTGGCTGGCGCGCGTCGACGGGGCTCCCATTGGCCGCTGCGCTCGTCGGTTTCCACGACCGCTCACCCCATGGCGCTGCGTGTCCATCAGCGCGGAGCGTCAAAGGTCACCAGGGGAGCACACGCGCCGACCCGCAACGGAAAGTACGCAGCAGACGAAAAGGGGAGCGGACGAGCGGCTTACATGCTTTCGCATTCACAAGTCATAAGGAATGCCTATACTCCGTTTCATACTTAGTATGCAACGCTGTCAACGCTACTGGCTCGAGCGCGTGGCTTTGTCTATGGTTTCGTTCGCGCGAGGACGCGTGCTAGATGAAGCCAGATGCTCGCGCCAGTAGCTTTGACGGTGTTGTACGCTAAGTGTGAAACAGAGTATAGGTGTACCTCGATCTTTCGGTTTTTCTTAGGTGGTGGATGTTGAGAAGTGGCTAATACCCATGAGTTGAAATTTGATTGTCTAATATTAAATACCCGAATTATCTTGCGAAAGCACCCAGAATTCCAGAACCCGTACGTTTAACACGCCGAGAAAGTGAGGGAAAGCAGACGAGAGCGCGCAGAGTCTTCAGAACGCCAAGCTGTCTATTCGAATGATTAGTGGATAGACAGAAATAAAGAAGGCAGCCTTTGTCTCCACAGTACTCGTCGAACGCGGTCGAATGCGAAAGCCGGACGCCGCCGTTCCGCGTTCTAACGCGTTCGTCGAGTGCAGTGGAGACAAAGGCTGCTAGCCTTAGGTCTACCCCCTAATCGTACCAACCAGAGCGCGGCGTTCTGACTTCTACTCGCGGTCTCGTCTCCTCGTTTCCCCCATATTTGAAGTCGGGATAGTGGTCATCTATTACGTCGCATATCCTAGCGTCTAGTCGGACACCTGAAGAGTGTTTTCGCTCCGTATTAAACTATGTTAATCCTTTCTTATACTCCGTTCACGCTTAAGGTGAGACTAGAAGCTCCGCGTTCAGGGCGAGCTCGCTGACTTCTGCAATGCTTTGGTTGCGCGTCCCTGCGCGTTCACACTGTGGGATTTCCCTTGCTGCTACCCGTCTCGGAGAATGACACAGCACACCGGTTCAACAACACGTAAACATTTAATGACCGCTATCGCCTGCGCCGCGATCCCAACAGCCCCCGCGCATCCGCTGCGACGGCCTTTTATCAGCGGCGGAGCGCCGCTCGCGTGGCCAGTTGCCCTTGGCCCCCTCGTGGCCAAGATGACCACTTATGATTGTCGGAGGGGCAGCCTGGGCCAACCGCTTGGAATCGCCAGGTTGCCCACACATCTCCCCCCTTCCAAAAACGAAAACAGAGGACGTCTTTGATGGTCTTCGGGGGGGCCTTCCTTCTTGGTCAGCAAGGGTCTTCTCAGATGAGCGAGCACGGGTCCGACATCAGTACTTCCGGACAGTACCGATGCAGCCATGGGGGGTGGTCTGATGATGGGAGCTGCGTCGCCGCTGTCTGGCACGAGGAACTAGAAATTAAAAACAACATGAGGCCATGGCGCGGTAGGAAAAAGTAGCCGCGCACACGAAAGATGCCTGTCCCACTGTGCATGCGGGAGCGCGGACCATTTCTCTTCTCCCCCCCCAAAACACCGAAGAGGGCATGAAGATAATACGCTTAGAACTCGTGCTACTCCCGGTCGTCTTCACCGCCGTCTCAAGTTGTACCGCGGTAGAGACGGTGTG